TATAAAATCGATAATACATTAGAAATTAAACCATAATAGTTTAGGATATTTTTGTGAAATAAGCATTAATTCAATTATATTAGATCTTGACACAGTTTATATAAGTTCTTGTATTGTGATCTAACATTTATTTTTAATTTTCAAATACAATTCGTAGTTCATTATTCGCCAATTATTACAATAAAATAATTTATAATTTTATATTGTAAATTTTTCTATATTTTCTTGCATTAATATTTATTAGATCATTAAATAATGACTGCAATAATGAATATTTTGTATATAACTTAAATACGCAATTATTTTGTTTCTTAAGAAAATATTTATCAGATTGGAGTTTGGATAATGCAATTTTACGGTATATTTTGGTATGTAAGTTTACCGGAATTTGGGTCATACACATACTACGATTATTGTTTTACATCGTGAATTTCAGCGCATCGATTATTTTCAGGATCATCATTTCCAATAGGTGAAGATTATTTTGATTCAAACAAAATGAAAACCATGTGCAAATCTCCCGAATACAACATCAACTATTTCATTCAACGTGCTTTAAAATATACACGCTTCAAACTATAAACGTATCCGAAAATAGAAGAAGAAAAAAAAAGAGTATACATTCATAACTTTGCGATGGACCCGACCCGATATATCAATTAACCTCGATGCGAAATTTACATACGATTAACATAAGCGAGAGCTCGTATACATAAATCGAAAGGCAAGGATGTAATCTGAAACATGTCTGAAAATATTTACAGAAGGTGTGACTCAAGAAATGCAAATAGAAACCTAAATACACTGCTTTTCGATATTTGTAATCCACCAAAAATTTACTAAAAATACATTTACTTTTTTTTAAATGCAGTTTTGGAAAGATAACAGAATTTGGTTGATTAATTAATATTTTTAACAACATGTTTGTCTTGTTGTATTTTTAGTGAATTATGTATATAAAATATTAGTTTACGAAAAATAAATTTGAGACTGTGATAATAAAAACAAATATATTAGTAATAATTTCTAAGAAAAACAGAACAGTTTCACTATTCTGATTGATGTTCTATTTTAGGGTTTGGACAGTTCTGAGCAGATCCAACTCATATTTTTAGTTTATGCAGACACAAACTCGATCGACTAAAATTCAAATGTATAGAGCCTGATCGAGTTTCGGGTCAGTTTGTGGTCAAACTTCTGCAATTTCTCTTCCAGCGAATCATCTCCAATTACTAATTTGTCGGTTAAAGAAAATTGCAAGCATGTAATATTTTTAATCATAAACTTATTACACTTATTTCTGATCATTCATAAAAATGTCTTTAGAAATTAATACTGCAACCTTTTTTTACTCGTATAGTGAAACAATTTTCCCCATATAAAGCGTTCCATTTTGGAGTCATTTTTCTTACAATTTATTTTGCTCGTTAAGCAAAATGCTCGGTATGCAAGATGCTCGTTCAGCGAGGTTCCACTCTATTTTATTACTAGTAAAATTACGCAAAATATGCATTGTATTATTTAACTTTTAAACATCTCGATTTAAATAATTACATTTTTATTAAATATTTTTTAATGATTCCAGAGATCACGGAGATCAAATAATTTATGCTCAAGTCTCATTAAAAATCGGAATTGCTATAGATTTGTTGAAAATATGAGATTTATAGAATAAAATACTTAAGTTTTAAAAACTCAAAGATATAATTAATTGTTAATTGCGTCGTTTCTATTAATAATTTTTGCACTGTTTGCAAATTATAAACGTATTTTCCAAGTCGATGACGTCTATTTATCCATAGTCATTTATATGCACTATATACACATACACTAAATTATTAATTTTAAATTAAAAACCATATTAATTCAGATTTACTTTTCTTTTCAATAATTTCTTTTACAATATTGTTTTTTTTTTATAAGAATTTTAAAAATAAACGTATCTAATTATAATTATGTAATGAATGTATAATGATGTAAATATTATTATTTATATTCTCATTGTTTGTTTTCTGTTTTGTTTAAAGCTAAATGACCAGCTTTTATCTATTCGCTGCGGATGTTGTTTGGTTATGTGATAATTATGAACTGTTTTTTACGTGTGAATGATGATAAAAATTCATACATTATGTGCTTAATATAAACGAAATAACAATTTATCAAATAGATTCGTGTCATCAAACTAATATCGCACCCAAATTTATATATTCAAACTTACACCATTCATATTGTCTTATTGTTACATCATAATTTGTATGTTAGTTATATGATTTTTCTACTGAATTTATGTTATAATTGTTAATATTAATGTATATGTAAATATTAATAAAATAAATCGTTAAATTTCTTCATCCGAATGATGTTTTAGAATATATTATTTGTTTCATTTCGAGAAGATTTACTTTTATTTGGTCTAATTTATAATTTCATCTTTTTTATATTTACATATATGTACGTTGGCGACTAATAACCGAATGGTTGCATTGTAACTAATAAATATTGTTATTATTATTCGTTGAATTTTTATTGGCTTGTAAAAAAATTGTTGTAGAAGAAAGTAATTATTTATAATTACTATTAAGTACTTAATAATGAAAATGTTTAGTATTTCTTAGAAAGTATTTATTATAATATATGCTACATTGCTACAAGTAAATTACGTGTTATATTCACGATATGCAATTTGTAATGCTATTAAAGTAATTTTAATATATAAAATGCATATTATTAATTAAAAATTAATATATTATTTTATGTACTTATTTTTTTTAATTACTTATAAAAAAAATTCTCAATAGATTTGAAATGAAACGCCCTAATTTTTGTCGATTGGTTTATATTTGGATACATACAATATCAGTTAACAAAAAAAAATAGTGTTGAGTAGAGCAGAACGATGGAACCAATGAAATTGTTAAGAACAAGAAAAACTGACGTGTTGCCGATCCCTTTTTTGCATTTGGCGATATGATTCGTAGCTGAAACTAAATTTTTATTGCTCTCTTATCTTGTGTACGAAACTCACTTTTTTCTTTAGCCAATAAGAATTGGTTAAACGTTCAAAGCAGCTATGATCCCGTCATTGTATACTTATTAATGAACAAATATCCGAATGGGAAATTATCAATGAAAAATATATTTTCAATTATACATATTTTATTGATAGGTAGCAATTTTATTGCAGCAACCAAATAGTGGTAATGGATAATTAAACTGAGAATAATAACAGATCAGAATTAAAACTGTTATTTTATATTATATTGATTATATAACTAATTATTTATTTACGTTTTCATAGCAAATTTTTAAATATACAAAAATAAATTATATAATTACATTTATTGTAATTATAAGAGATACATTTATGTTTGTATTATATTCAGGACACCATGGATAAAGAACAACATAAACAGCATTTTTATGAAGTAAAATTTCTTTTAAATATCATTTATTAATAGTTATTATAATGACAGAGAGTTATTAAATTAGTTTCTAACATAAAACTTCTATGCGTATTGCTTCAACAAATAATGGATTTATACTGAATATGGATAGGAATGGTTAATCTGCATCATCCAAGGTTGTGTTGTTAAACACAAAATACCTAATGGTAATTGCGTTAATGTGTGAGTAGTCAAGTGTATGTTTACAGTAAACGTACCAAGAAGGTTCATTTAAAATGTAACAGTTACATAACCAGAGAGTTATTGTTTTTAATTAGGTCAACATAACTTGTATTTAAAATTATATAATTATAAAAGTACATTAATTGTTTATAAATGATACAATTTGAAATATTGTAATTTTAATAGTTTTTATAAACAAAAATAATAAAATATCAAACAAATTTTGGTCCTTAATGGGCCAATACAAATTTTTAATTAAATCAAACACAAATTTTTGCATTTTTTTTTAAATTTAAAAAAAAAAATTATGTATATATTTTGTATTTGATTTGTTTACCAAAAGTTTTTTTAACATTTTCTAAGTAATTATAAAAAAAAATATAGATGCATTTCCCATTATTTATATCTGTTAATAAATGATACAATTTGAAATATTATATTAATTTTTAATTTAAATAGTTTTTATAAAAGTAATTACAAAAGAATCATTGATAACACGATTATTATTAGTCAATAAATGTGTATGGAACTAATTTAAATGTTGAAAATTATTTTGTGATTTGAATAATTACAGAAAGTTGATCACAATTTTTAATCATCATATAGAAAAAAAATATGATAGATTCTTTTTACTATCGTATTTTCTTACGAAATAATGTTTAAAGTTGCCTTGAAACTAGAATTTTATGAACGATAAAGTGTGATAAGTCTTTTGCTGTTAACTCTTATTTATTATTACTAAATAATAATAATATTTAATGCAACTACAAAATAATTAAAAAAATAAAATACATATAAGAAATCAGATAAAAATAAGTAATCAATTTAAGGGTTATTGATTATTAGTAATACTATGACGTTAATATTGTATTGATTTCTCATTTGTATAGTTTTTAGAAAAAGTTTATTAAAATAATAACGTAATTGCAAAAAGAAAATGATCTGAATGTATCGATTATTAAATCATATATAATATTAAGCAACTTTGTGGTAACCATATGTGAACTTTGTAGTAAAGGTTAGCTAAATATAATACCCGGAATGGTAATTGTGTTAATGCGTGAGCAGAGAAGTGGATGTTTGCAGTAAGCGCATTAGGGGTTCATGCAAAATGTAGCTGTTTCATAACCGTGGGGTGGTCTAGACAATTGTGAGTGTTATCATGAGTGTTAGTGTGTATTTTTTTAGTGTGTGCTAATTAAAGTTTTTTGGATGTTGTGAAATGCCATCCATGCATGTTGATGATGTTGGAAGAGGAGGAAGAGGCTGGCCGCAAAAGGAAAGAAGCACGTGTTTCACTACGCAACATAAAACTCGAGCGGACGCGCATCACCGGGAGAGCGGCAACCAATACCCAGCACATGTGGTAAAGTTTATTCGGTCCTACGAGCGCGACCTGTGAGTGTCTTGTGGGATGGTAGGTGCGTGGTGATATATACAAGTGACTTTAATCATCATCATGGGTGTCCAAAGCACCCCCAACAGACTTATCTATTTGTGTGCCGCTATCTTTCTGACGGCCGTCCTTCTTCAGCTACCATCGAATGCGAACGCTGATAAAGAGGTATGTCGTCGTCATCGTCTTCAACATCTTCTTCTCGGCTTGGTAACAAAGACCTGACTCCGCGCGATGCCCTTCTTGGTATTGGTGCTATCCCGGCGCGACTTTCAAGTTCTAGATCAACAACACTTCGCTCACGCCTCACGCAATTTGAATACGCGAACTTCGCGCCCAAACCACGTGCTCCATCCACCATCCTCTGGAGTGCACCAAACCCACCAAAAAGTTTAAATTTAAACCGCTGCATTATTTTTAAACCAGAACTCATCTATATTGTCCGAATTAATCATAACTATTCTTAGAACAAATCTTCAGCAAAAAAAAATATGTACAACTCAATTTAAAGAATTTACTAATTTTAAAACTAAAACTTTTGCAAAAAATTAAACTACTATTAAGCGAAATTAAACACCCGTCACTTTCTTTTGCACAACTTGCTGAATCAAATTTATTCTTTCAAACTCCGTCAAACCAAACACAAAAAATTAATTTCTTAATTTTTATGCGCTTATGCGTAAAAATGTTTTTTTTATATATTTATTATAATTCACCAACTACCTGTGCTACTATATATTATTTAGAGAAGTGTACGCAAGTTCGTAGAATGTAAAGTTTTGATTTAATTATTCAACTTGGAGGCCCCCCCATGTAATGTAATACATTTTCGGTGCCGGTATTAAATTAAAATTGCTCTAATTACTTTTAATAAATATCATTTACATTCAGGCCACTGTTGCAGCGCACGTACCTGCATTTGCGGTTAATCGCTCACCGAAATCGCACCAGTCTTTATGTAATTGCAGAATTCCAGAAAAAGGCGTAACCAAATCCACCAAAGAAATGCATTGAACATTTCCGGTCTTTTGCTCTAAATTTCGGTATTTCTCATTCATCATTTCCAACAAAGCGTACCTTTAAATTCATTCATTCAAAAAAAATAAGCACTATTTCTATAAAATGTATACCATTTAAAGTACAATACGAAATAGTAATGTTGTTTCTTTGTAGAGCTGTAGAAAACAAACGTATGTAATTTATTTTTACGTTATGGCTTGAAACATTTCAATTATGTAACTAACATTCATTATGGCAATTGCTGTAAAGTTAAATTGTAAAATAAGAAGTCTCAAATTTTGCATCATTTATTTATAATTAAACAGAGTTTATCAGGTCGAGTGTCGTTAGGTTCATGTATCATGTAAGCATTTATCGGTTTGAATTAAAAATTCGTTAATGAATTGATAATAATTTAATTTAAATTGTTTTTACGAATATAATTATTTTTGTTCATATTTTCTCTCTCTTTACTTTTAACTTATTATATAAAATGTGCTATGAATATAATCCTCGAAGGTCGAGCCGGACAATGCACACATAATTCTATTTATTTACCGAGTGACCAACATCTAACATTCATACGGATTCCGACTACTACAAGAACGCTGCTTAAGAAATTTACATCTCAGTCTATCATAAAAGAGAGAAAAATAGTAATTTCTAGGAAATACAACCTGGCAAGAATTTTTCTTTAATTAAACAAGCGGATTAATATAATTTCGATTACGTTATTTTTCTGATTTGCATCTAATAACATGAAAACCTCTATTTCTGACAAATAAAAATCTTACATAACATATAATTAGTAATTATACTCGTAGGATAATCCAATCAAAGCTTTTTGTAGATTGTCCCTTGCGGCTTGAGAGAGAAACTATTGCTTCCTTCAACTATTTTTTTTTCCTGTTATTCTTCATCGCGCGTATTTATGTTAACCAAAGATAAAGAGACTTATTTTAAAACAAATAAAAATTGCGAAATAAAAATCTGGCCTGGATATACAAAAATAGGATAGGATTTTTAAAACAAATCGGGTGCATATCTACATTTCTGGGTCAAGCGGGTTAATGAAGAAAAAACATGGCACATGGTCAATAATAATTTCAAAAAAAAAAATAAATAATATTTTTTTTTATAAACATCATCTCGCCATTCAATGATAGATAACTGGAAAAAATATACATATATACTTATACAATGCGGTTGCCGAAATCTTTTAGATAATTTGTTAAAAATTAAATAAATAATGTTTTACATTGACAAATCATAATATTATATGTTTCTAATCAGATGTAATTCATTGATAGAGACTTTGAACTTTAATGTAATTTAGGTTACTGAAAAAAATATTATTTTTTTTTTCGTAGAAATTATCTTAGCTAACACAGTATTCATTACGAATTTAGTTTTAATTGATAATTTATATCTAATATTTTGAAATTTATAAAACAAAAATTTAAGAAATATTTTTTTACAATATCTGAAATATAATATAGGTTTTCGTATTTATATAGTAATTATTCAAATTTTTTAACGAAAAGTTAAGTTCTAAAATATATAATAATATATCATAGACTAACGAGTCTAAAAACGTATAAAATAAAAAGAAAACCCTCTTAATAATATATGAAAATTATAATTTAATTATTTTAAAGTTTTCTTTTAATTTTTGTTTTCTTTCATTTTAATGTTTTAAATGTGTTTTATTTATTTAACAGATTGCAATTTTGTTAGAAATGTAAGTTTGGATTTTCCACTTTTCATTGTGGACACTGAGATTTGGCTATTTTATCTGAAACTCGATTTATGTGCGTCATTAAACGCACCGAAATTCGTGATTTCGAAATTTACCACATTCCATTTTGTAATCCTTATATATACACACTTTGAGCAATCTTTAAAAAAGAAAAAAATCCGAAAGTGAAACGAGCATTATGCAGGTTTATTACGAAGTTTAACATCTCGTTAACTTGAAATCTCAGTTATTCTTTATTTCCTTATATAACTGTTAATGTTAAATGGTGATTAGAAAATTGATTTGGTTTTTGTTTAATTATTTTGTTGATGTATTTTAAATTTTTTATAGTTGTTGTAAAGAATGAATGATGCTATTCAGTAAACTAGAAGTGGTAATCATGTATCTTCATCATGCTTGCACCTAGTGAACTTAACGTCTCCGCTTGGTATCTTTACGTGTACGAACAATGGGATATACATATGAGAATAGTGACCCTATGCTCTTCGCTCATAACTTTGCAAAAGGATATGCAAACTCCGGCATTATTAAATCCCAAGCTTCTATTTTCAGTCGTTCGATAAATAAATCTGTACCATAAATTATTTCTTATTTAATAATTAACTCGGTGTGATAATATTATTATTAAATAGGCCGGGACAGACGTGGGTCTTGTAAGATCAATAGCTCTCAGTTTCCCTTAAATTCAATTAAACCCACTTATAATTTGTCTCGGAATACACACTATAAATATAGCCATACATTGTATACAGTTTTAAGTTGTTTGTGTAAGAAACTAGATCAGAAGCTACAAACAGCAACACTAAGCAAATTAGCACATATTGTAATTGGCTTCGAAAATAGGCGAAATCATATTTCGAATCCTTAGCAACTTTAAGGTTTCTTTACAGTTGAGAATAATAAGATATTTAAATTGCTCTTACGGATGTTCTTTATGGTGGATTCTTTTCATTCGGGGGAATTATAATTTAAACGTGTGAGACGTGTAATTTATCGTGGGGAGGAGATATATACAAGGAGCAACGTGGGCGTACTTGCACTATGTTCTCTCTCTCCTGATCTCCAGAGGCGGACAAGTATTATAATTTTAGGTGGTTTAGTAAGAAACGAAATTGTGGACAAAACGAGAGTTATTGCCCGTCCTTTAAGTTACGAGCGATTCGGTGCATTCGAACTACAACATCCTTATACTATTTACGAACTCTTCTTTCCAATTCGTCGCTCTTTTCGTTTTTTTTTCACCAATTCGTTCGAATCGAATAAAATACGTCAAAACATCGATACCTGGGCACCACATACATCATTTATATTCCATAACAAAATCCAAACAAAAAGCTCCGGTTTGATTGGATTTGATGCACCGGATATTTATTATAGAATTTTACATTTCAATGGGCTTTTAATTTTCTATAATAATTATTGTGCATTGTTTTTTTTTCTTCTCATTTTATGCGTGCTATACATATTTTTTTTTATTAACATTCTATTTGTTATATAAAACACGAAAAACGCAATACCAACCTATCTGTCACTCCTATATATATTTATTTTGTAGATATATTTTTTTAACCCGATTTTATACATATCAATTCCCTGACCCGGAAAATTGATATCGCAAATGTAAGACTCATTACGTCGCTTGGAAGAGGAACGATGAGATCACGGTTTCTTTTGGGCCGTTGATAAAACCAAATTTCGTGGAGACGCAGAGAGGAAAGTACGTCGAAAAAAACAAAAATGTTCTGTCTGTTGAGTCTACGGGAATTTACTGCTAACGCATATTTAAGAAGTAACAAACAAATAAAGAAAAAAAAAGCAACAAAGATTAATGCGAGCAAGGTTCGCAAGTAATTTCGAAGTTATACACTTTTGGGGGTAGTTAAGATGATGCGCTGCTCCTTGTCGTTGCTACAATTAAAAGTGTATTAGATAATTTTATTGGCAAGAGTACTGTTGTTTCTGTTCGTTGGTTCGACTAATTGATACATTGTTGTTCAGTTTATGGCAATTGGCGTTTATGGCGCCGATACTAAATTATTTATTCGGCTTTAACTTTATATTGAGACATTGAGCAATTTCATTGTTGTTGTGCATCGCACCGATCACCTACACACGAATTCGATATTATGTAATTCGTTTTTAACTGATCCAGCCAGCAGCATGTGCTCCCAATTTTATTAAACTTAAATTTATTGATGATGTCACGATCTTAATTTAACCCTCCGTTACTCGCTTCGCATTTCGTAACATCGTTACTCGCGTGGCGTCCCAGAAACTTTGTAAAATATAACGTTAGTAATTAATTTATATAATAATTAAACTTATTTTCATCTAAACATGTTTATTTTATAAAAATGCAAAAAAATATCTTCTTCATCGCTACTAATTGTCTTTGATCTATAAAACTTAT